TTCTTTTTCATTGTGTTTTGTATTCTTCTTTTCCCTTCGTTTATTCTAGCAACATCTCCCAGTTAAAAGAACAACATCATGCAACAGTTACATCATTTAATTTCTTTTTTTGTGCTTACTCTACTCTAGATGCAAAGTTAATTAGAATTAGAGGCCCTGTTTTAGAAAAAGCATTCCTGCAATTACATATTTATTATTCTTACGCTCAGAGAGGAAAATAATGTATAGTAGTTGACAAAAGTCCAAAAATACTTCAACAATGTAACAGTTTCCTATAAACTTCTTAATTGTCTTTTCACTAGAAACAGTAGCATGCAATTAATGGGGCTTTGGACATGGACTTTGCAATTTTGATGTTTTATGCAGAAAGCCTAATTTAAATATTAAACTGGAATGCAGAGAAAACTTAATAGCTCAGAACAATTAAGAGGATATGCAGGGAAGTTTCAAAACTAGTAGTGCAAACACTTATAACCTCGTTTATTCATGTTCTATAATCGTTCTTAATAAACTTTTCAGTAGTCTTTTAAAAAATATTTGAATTGGGTTTACTTGAGTATTTTTCAAAAATAATTAATTAAATGTTGATATTGCTTAGCTGCCTTTCACCCCATTATAGCTTATTATTTAAATATCTCTTTTTATTATAAAAGGAAAACAATGTTAAACTCTGGTACCTCAAACCTGCTCTACATAATTAAAGGCAGGAATTAATCAGTTAACTTCTTTCTGGTTAGGAATCTTTCTGAAGACATATGGCAGCCTATCATGTTACATGTATAAATGTCAATAATAATGAATACAAGAAAAAGGTATTTTATAACTTTTCAGTAAATTTGAAAGAGGTGAAAGGAAATATTTAAATAAATATGCAGTATTTTTGGTGCTTTGAAAATGAAAATTTATCAATATAAATTATGATATTTAATCACAAGCAGAACTCTCCTTCCTTCTTCCTATTTCTGATTCTACATTATTTTGTGTAGCAATGGTTTGCAGTGCTTTTTTCTATTTTTCTATAACAGCACTGACACTAAATTATATTCTGCAATTATGTAAACAATGGAAGCGCTTCCAGAACCAATCTCTCATTTGAAATTTTCATTTTGGTAATTGTAGAATGATTTGGAACTATAATAATCCAAAATTATTTTGCATGTTTATAGATCAGCTATGAAAGTGGTAAAGGATGTGTGTGGCAGGATTAGTTATAAACCTATTTCTGTTGCTGTTGTTCTGTGCTTTTATTATTGGTTGTGGTTTTACTCTTTCTGTGTACTTAGCATTCAATTAAAATGATTGATTTGCTAGGCTGCAGACTGATGAATGTTATTTACATTTACAGAACTGTACTTTGAAGGAAGGAAACAACCTACTATGTTTGAACTACTTTATTCATTTATGTATTTGTAAGCTCATTGACATTACACAGAAGTCCTTACATTGCAATTTCCTTGGAGGTGAATTCTCTTCTTAAATTGCCAGTTTTCTGTATTGCTTCATAAAAGGGAGGATTTGAAATATTTGGCAGCAACAGCTTGTCAAAAACATTTGGTTACCTTGAATTCATCCTAGCTAGGCACAGTGTGAAAAAGCTACATAAATCTAAGCTATCAGATATTATCTTTGAAAAGATTCCAGTGAAGGATGACATGTGGATAATATTTGCCTTTGACCCTTAGAAATTATTAGCACAAACTTTTGGGTAATTAGTTGTAAAAAAATTGAATTCATTTCCCATGTTTCCTTGAATTGTTTTTCTATTTGGCATCATTCTGCTATGGAAAAGATAGCAAAACTACCGTTATAGTGTTTCTTTTCTCTAACATTTAACTTTGATGACAGAGCATAGTTTGCTTTGGCTCATCCATCCTTATGCTTTTCATTTAGCATTACTAGACATGAAATCCAACTCAACTGGCACCATATTGAAGAAAGTGTTCAAGATAGTATTGGCATAATTTGTCTAAAATAATTTGGACAAGTCTGTTGTCATTGAAAAATATACTGTATTTATCATAGAAGAAAAATTAAGGTACTTTCCAGTGGATGAATCCAGTATTATAAACAAGGCTCTAGTTTTCATTATAAGAGACAAGATCAGACATGGCTATTAAGTTGGTATTATAGACAGCTATTTTTCAAATTTGTTGAAAGGTTGTTGTTCTGTGTAAAACATAGTCAGACTGAAACAGTAATTAGCAAAGGTATTCAGAAGGTCAGTTACTCAGACACTGTCAGTAGGCAGGCCAAGTTTCATTTATGTAATCCATCTTTATTGAGGTTATCCACTTCAGAGAGGATTGAGCTGTAGAATTTGTTTTTAAAAGCAGAACAACAAAATCTGTTGGATAATCAAAGCCAGTCTATATACTAGACTGACTAGAACTTAGTAGCATAGCAAGATCAGAGAATTGTAGAATGGCCTAATTCCAATGATTAGGATTCCCAGTTCCCAGTCGCTTTGTAGAAATTCTTACATAGTTTCTACTCTTACATATTTCTACTCTTATTTCTGGCTATATTTTCATTCACAAGTACCTGTGTATGCTTAAGATAACATTAGTTCACCTAACTATTTTCTGGGTTTAAATTCTCTGCTTCCTTTATCCTCTGGATTTGGTCAGTAATTTAGTTAATCATTTAGTCCCAGAGGAACATTTCTCTGTACTCTAGAGAGAGCAGATCTAAGGGACTCATCCATTAAGAATAATCAAGCTTTCAAGCAGTAACACCCTACTCCCTCTAAACAGCTATAGACTTGCCTTGAGATCAATAGAAATGGCACTGATTTGAGTACTGTATCTTTGTGGAAGTTGCATCAGGGATAAGTCCTACTGAATTTAGTGGGACTTATTTTTAAATTTATTTATTTCAGCTTTTAAATATATAATGTAATATAAAACCTTCCAGGCATAAACAATGATGTTTAAAATTGGTGATCCACATATCTTAAAACTGGAGAAAGAACGAATGATTGAATGAATGAATTTATTTTGATTAAATTAATCAAAAATGTGTGTGTGTATGTGTGTAAAAATTCAAAAAAGCTTATAAACTGTTAAGCAACACACTATTTTCTCCTCAACGTTATTCATTTTTTAAATCAGTACTTCTGTTTTATTAAATGAAATACAACAGAGTTGTGAGCCCTGAGGAGAGTCTTATAAATTGAATTCACTATTTACATTGCTCTTCATACATATTTCTCTGTGCATATAGTAACAGAAACTCCAAAATAAAAGCTTGATAATGGATTGTGGTGCTAGAAAAAATTATTGAGAAGACCTTGGACTACTAAATGAACAGATAATTTAATACTAGATTAAATAAAAGCAGTGTTTTCACTGGAAGCATGAATATTGGAGCTAGCTTAAGTATTTTGGACATTTAATGTGAAAACAAGAGTTATTGAAGATGACCCTAATGCTTGTAAATATCAAGAGCAATTGAAAAAGCTTGACAGAAGATGAACTGATTAACAATTATTACTGATGAAACAAACATGAACTTACAAGAATCCAAATAGTTACAAATGAAACTAGATAATTGATGCTTGTTCGGACATGAAGAATCAGACTTAACTAGCAAATGAGTAATAAATATATTTAAGATCCTGTGACACCCTAATGACTTAACTGATTTGTATATATCAGCAGTAGTGTGTTCCCACTACATTGATATTGAATATCACGTTCATGTTCATTGTATTGTTATTTGGTCCTTCAGTTTAATCTCAGAGATTTTGAGGAGATTGCTTCAGGCAGTAAGCTTCACAAGTGGGTATATTGTTGTTCTTAAATTTTATATAACCAGTTCTATTATCATATTTAGCACAATTAACAAATATTGCAATTCAAAAAAAGTCAATATGTTGAACCATATAAATTAAAAAGCCTACAATGATTTATTATTTGTTTTAATAATAATGTATACTTCTTTATGCTACCAGTGAATGATTTTAAACATATACAGCCTAGATGATAACTGGTGAAAAGCAACCTGCTGCAATGTGCCATGAATGTGTTTGCTCAAGTTCCATTTATTTAATTAAGACTTGCATAGGAGAACTTTACAGTGTCTTATGTCCTTTGTTTCATAGACTCCCAAAGGGCCCAGACCCAAACACCTCTCACTTTAGAAGAAAAGTGAAGTTTTAGTCCATTCATGCAATGTGTAGCTTTAGCCTCTACTTGAAAAATACTCTGGAATCTTTTTATGGACACATGGCTTTAAGAAAAAAGCCAGCAAGATTAACAATTAGAATTTATTAATCTTTTAAAATGCTGCACTCTGCCTTTCATGCCAAGATTCATGAGTCATTTTATTGTAACATATGTCAACAGAGATGTAGCCCCATCTGCTGCTATAGAGCAGGTTCAGACACTAGGCACACAGCACAATGCTTACCTCTCAATAATTACAGGTGTGCTGTGAGAAAACGCAATGCATTAATCAGTCCAGTAATTATGGAAAAGGTGGGTCTTTTGTTCTGCCTTCAGAACAGGAGTTTACCAGCCACTTCATGACTCCAGTCTCCATCTGCTCATTCTTTTAGAATGTTTGCATTGACTGATACTGCCTTTAAGTTGTAACATGGGAAGTGATTAAAACCAGTTTGAACATTAACTGAAATGATGTTTCAACGGGAAATGCTGTGTGTTGTGATGCTAACATTTATTTACCTTTTAGTCAGTGATTGAGAAAAATCTGTTTCGTGTTAATTATCAGTGCATAAAACTGTAAAGTTTAGTTATATGGAGTAACATTTTTAATATTTCCTGAATATCAGTCTTGTTAGGAGAAAAAAACCCACAAAACTGTAGGGCTTTTACAAAAGTGTGCATTATATATTAGTACGCATATGCTCTGGTCCTCATGAACCAGAGCTTCTTTCTCCTATGATCTATTACATAAGAGCAGGATACTGATTTTAAGGACAAATGAAAAATTCTTAACATATTCACATATTCACACATTTCATTTTTCCCCCTTTTCAGAATGTTTTGAACACTATCATCAAACACTGCTCCCCATTCTTTTTCTTCTTGGGCTTACCCGGCTTTACACTGCTAATAAGAGACTTCATAACAGCGGCAACTAGAGTTCTGAGTACAAATATGTTAGAGGTAAGTATGTCAGAGTTCAGTGTATGATTGTTAACAATATGCAGATTTCCCGACTCTTAATATTAACTCATTAGTGCAGTGTGACATTGGAGTAGAATGACATTTGGATTTTTTTTTCAAATAACAACTTGCCAATTACCTCAAATTTCAAGGTAGCAGTAATTTTTCATTATATGTCTTTTCTGATTGACAGTATGAACTAATATCTTGTTGATCACTTATCTTTGTCAGTTACATAGCCAAGCCAGAACTCATGTTGCTGAAGTAGGATATTTTTATTACATAATATTAAGTTGAATGCTAGGAAGTGCAATCTTATTAAAAATAAATGTAAACAGAACAAATGAGCTTTCTAGATTTCATTTGTTTTAGCTATGAAAACAAATGAAAATTCACTTGATTAATATCTGAATATTTTTCTCATTTTTAATTCATTCATTTTTATGTTCATGTTTCAATTTCTGATCTGGTCTGAAATTAATCATTTTTGCATTGAGAAAGAGAAATGATCAAAAATAGAATGAGGGCAATTTATGCAGTCCATCTTACATTTACAGGTGTAATCTTTTGTAGTTGCAGAAGAACACCTGGAAATGTTATGTCATTTTGATGAAAAATGCCATTTAAAGAAAAAATACAGATGGAACATCTGGTTGTGAACTCTTCCATTCATGACCAATTTGGGTGATGACCAAAATTTCTTACCTGTGGTTGTGAATGGGTGCTTGGGTGGTGATCAAACACAGCTGCAGTGATTTGCTGTTCCATGCCAATTTCCCCTTCCATGTCGCACTCTTTTTTTTAATGCACATGCACTTCCGGTGAGGACCAAATTGGGTGACGACCAAATTCTTGGAACAGATTATAGTCGTCACCTGAGGTTCCACTGTATACAAAGTTATATCCATCATACAACCCCCACAATCACATGAGTGCAATTTGGGTACTTGGCAACTAGCTTGCATTTATGATGATTCTAGCATCTTGTACTAATGTAATTGAATTTTGCAACCTTCCTAGCTAGCTTCCCACAAGCAAAGACAATTGGGAAGTCAGATTCACTTAGCAGCCACTTTAAAAATGGTCATAAAATTAGGTCCAGTTTACATGATGACTCACGTTATCATCACACTTATTTATGGTGGAATGTCCAGTCCCAATTGTGCTCCCTAAATCAAGGACTGTCTGTGATATCAGATATTGTCAGTGGAATTCAATATCCTGTAGGTGTCCTCAAGCATCTAAGATTGAATATTTCAAAATTAGGAATTGCTTAATTAGGAATTTGATTAATTACTTTCTTTAATTCAAACCGATTTCATTAGAGAAGCAAAACATTGATGAATGAATGGAATGGAATAAAACTGTACATGGAAATTGTGGGTTCTTCCCTCTATGGTATATTGACTGTTGTTGAAAATGTTCAAGGGAAAGGGATTTATGGGCCCCATTCCTTCTTTTTGAGGCTTTTGGAAGCTCTTTTAGTTATACTATCAAATTTTTGCCAGTTTGATAAAAGGAACACATCAAAGCTTTAGTGTTAAAGATCTTCCTATTTTCTCCACAACAACTCTGTGCAGGTGGTTTGGGCTAAGGGAGGAGTGACTTTAGTCACCCAGCTGGCTTTAATGCCTAAGGCAGTACTAGACCTCACAGTCTCCCTATTTCTAGACTGGGGCCTTAACCACTGGCTTCTGTTTTGATATTAAGAGAATCTAATTTTTTTAATGAATATAGCAATACAAACATATGCATTTGTTTGTTTGTTACAGGCTCCTCGCGTAGAAGCAAATACTATTCTTGGCTCTCTGATTTGCTTCCCTAACCTTTACCAAAACATCTCATTGTTATCATCTGTTACTGAAGCAGAAATAACAACAGGAACTGCAGATGTCAAGGTAATTTTTTTTTCTTTGTGAGCTGATCTATATGATAACAGGCAGTCAGGCTGCCTTCCTGAAATTAGTGTTGCATTTAATATATACTGTGTGTTAGGATGCTATGCAAATCTGACTTGTGCTATTCTCTTATTTTTAAATGATATAGAAAAGATTTTTTTTTACATTATTTGTGTTGAGCTAAGAAAAAGGGACTCAGATCTTAAAGCACAAGTGATAAACAGTTCATCGGCAAATTAAAACCATAGTAATATCTTAAAGGATATTTTAGGATATTTTAGAGATGGAAAAGATGGAGCAAAGGAGAACCAAAATAATTAAGGCATTGAAGCAGCTCCCCATGAGAAAATGCCAAAGAATTTAAAGTTTTTTTGGAATGAAAGCAGGGTAAAAATATACCTCTAGTATGATATAGAGAGATATATTGAATCATGAATAGGGCTACGCGTATTTATCCTTCAGTGTTTAGTTTTCCCACTAAAACTAGTTGGATGAAATGATAGGACAAATAAAATAAAATATTTCTCAATATAATATATAGTTAAGGCTTAACATTAACCTCAGGATTAGCATTAACCAGTGGCTTTGGGACATACCTGTCATGTCAGCCCTCAACTGTCTCAACACACTGACAGGACACTATCTAGATGAATATCGATGGATGTTAGTAGGCAGAGACACAATTCCGCCCCCCTTATTTTCCTCCCCAAAAACTTAGCCCGATCACATAGTTTCGTAGCGAAGCACGGGTATATTTGTCAGGTTTGACAGGGATCTGTAAGAAAAGTTTGTAATTCTTAAATCCTTTGGGATAATTTAATTGTTTAATTATGAATATATATTTATACTAGCTCTATACCCGTGCTCCACTACGAAACTATGTGATTGGGCTTAGTTTTGGGGGAGGAAAATAAGGGGGGGGGAATTGTGCCTCTGTCTACCAGCATCCATCAGTATTCATCTGACTAGCATCCTGTTCTGTACTAAAGCTGGTTGCTGCTCTGAAATTGAAACTGAAACTCCTCTGCTTGTGTTTTGCATTTGTAACAGATTTCAGGTGGGGAGAGGGAGTAGAACTCCTTAGCATCAGAGCATGTTAATAATAATATATGAAATACTAATGCTCTGATGGTCATTTCAAAAAATCCTTTCTTAGTGAGCACCTAGAAGCCAAGAGGAAAATATGTGCCAAATTTCAAGTTTGTAGGCTTTACGGTTCTGGAGATTTTGTGATGATGTGTGAGTGGTATTTTACTTTTATATATATAGATATGTATATATTCATATATTTATACAGTAGTGGCCAAAATTGTGGAAAACTTTTGGGAAGTGTATTTTTGAGGTTTTATGAGTAATAACACCACTTTTTTTGGAGTAGGACCATAAAATTATATATTATTGGAAAGATAATTTAATCAAGAATGTAATGCAACAAAGTTTGTTCAATTATCTGCATTCTATGAAAAGTTATAACCAAATAACTAGGAAGCACAACTTGCTTAGGTTGATATCATGTAGCTTTCCTTCATCTGATTGTAGCCAATGAGCATGAGTGTTTAGCGAGCCAATCAGGTGTCATCTTGTTTTGGCAATGAGCCAATCAGATCACAGTAAGATTCAGTATTGATGTCATTTATTGAAGCTAAGAGGAGGACATTTATCTGTTTTATGTGATCGCTATCAAGTTGGTTGGGGTTTTTTGTGTTCTTTCATCTAATGAGCTTGTAAAACGTAATATAATTAAAGTAATGATGCAAAGAGTTGACTGGTCGCCCAGAAAGTGATGTAAAATAGTATTATTAAGTGAAGAAGGCTACAGTTATAAAGAAATTAGAAGGAAAATTGATGGAAACTTAACCAAGGTGGCATTTCTAAGTTTTTGAAGAGATATAAGGAGACTCAGTCACCAGAAAACCATACTGGTAAAGGCAGGAAAAGGTGCACAACAGCAAGTGATGATAGAAGAATTAAGAGATTGTGCCTATATGACAGAAGAAAATAATCTGAAATGGCGCAATGTAGTGTAAAGTTGAGTGCAAGGACTGTTCGGTGCAGACTGCTGGAATAAAATCTAGAATTCCACCAAAAAAAAAACCCACTTTTATCTCTCAAACAAAAGTTGAAAATACTAAACTGGGCTAAAACCCATATTACCTGGACAGAGGAACAATGGGACAGTGTTATTTGGATTGATGAGATCAATATCTCCGTTTGGTAGTGATGGCATAAAATATGTTAAGGAAACACTTTTCCCCAAAGGTTTCCACAATTTTGGCCACTATTGTATATGCATTTGTTTAGTATTTGTATTTTTTTTACTTCTATTCCAAGTTTATATTGTCCAGATTGATAATTTTAATTTCTTCTTGTTGTATATGTGTAGCCCGAGCAAGTCCTTTAATGTATTTTGATTTAATATTATTGTTTAGCCTTTTTTTTCCCTCAGTATGTACTTTTCTTAACTATACTGACATTGTCAGTTTAGTTTTGGATACTTTGAATACCAATTCTTTTGGACTGATTAATAACTGAAATAAAGTGAATTTATTATACAGGTAAACTATAGAATTCTCTGCCACCAGGAATGGTAATTACTCCCTATTTAAATGGCCTTAAAGGCTAGATTCCCTCATGAAAGAAAAGATGGAGAAAATATGAATCCATCCCCCATTCCTCTTCTTCCAGACTTATTTACTTTTTTGATGTCATTTCAGATTGATTCAGAGGTTTTAGGAATAGGCTGTGTTGATTACATCAATTCACCAAGAGGCTGTAGTTCCCTTTTTTCTGCAGTTGTCAATTCAAAGTCACAGATCAATCTCTGGTTTTCTGAAGGAATTCTAAACCGTTTTTTATGTTATTATTTGATGTTTGTGCATGCATGCATGCATGCATGTGCAGTCGACTCAAGGCTAATACAAGCCTAATACTTCTGCTTCCTGTTTTCCCCATAATGACTGTGTGAGGTGGGCTGGGTTGAGATGGCAACTGGCCCAACCTCATAGTCTCCCATTTTCTAAACCAGCACCTTCATCACTACACTACATGTCTTCATCCTCTGCCCTTTTGGTTCAATTTGTTATAGGCTCACCCGAGTAGGCCAGTATCAATGCTTACGATCCTATTTGATGTGGTTTAAAGCTACTTTTTTTTTTTTACCTTAAATGCTATAGCAGTACAGTGGTTATAACTTTTGCCTTGGAAATAGAAGATAGTTGGTTCATAATCTAGCAGAAATGTTTGCATTTTTTTAGCTTAGTTTCTTTCTGTCCTACAAGTTATTTGGTCTACTTGACACCTGAGGGTGAAACACTTTTAACATCAGATGACTGGAAAAATAATGAGACAGTGCACTATTGGAGGGGGCATATGTGTAAAACAGACGAATAAGAAGCTCAAGGAAAGAGCAAGTAATTCAAAAGCATTTCTGCCAGATTCAGACAGAAACATCAGCATTTTGTTTCTGGTTATAATGATTGAGCCTTTTACTTGTAGTATATATGGAAGGGTGGTCTAAATGACAATAGAAAGAAATTGGTAGTCATAAAGACATTTTTAAAAACTGCTTGCTGTGCTTGTTTTGCATGTAAGTTTTAATGCTTTAACTTCAAATAAACTTAACTTTGTGGGTGGGTGGATGGATGGATGGGTGGAGTATATGTATGTATGTGTCTGTACTCACTTCAACAGCACATATACATACTACACATACACACATAATACATACGTGTGTGTGTAGAAAGACCTGTCCATTGAGAAGAAATCAGTTGGCTGTTGCAGGAATGGGATCTGACCAGTATAACTATTGGTTCTGTTGTTCTGCATCGCGTGCACATGTGCGAGTTGCATGAGTGCAATTTACGACCTGCTGAGCTGCCCGGACAGCTGAGCAGCGCTGCATGCGGGTGCGCAGCAGTTGGATAAGCCCTTTTTTCCTGCTTTTTCAACTAGCTGTGCTGCACAAAGCAGCTATGGTTGAAAAAACAAGAAATAAAGGGCAACTAAGAGCCCAGGCGGGCAGGTGGGCCACAACAGCAGCAGACACAGAACCGGTTCTGTGTCTACTGCTCTTCAGAGGTACCGGTTCTGTAGAGCTGGACAGAACCGGTAGAATCCCACCCCTGGGCTGTTGCTTTCCTGAACCAGAAAGATGAGAGAGCATAGCAACAGTGGAATAGCCATAAGGAAGGATATGGAAGCCTATGGTTCAGACTAAATATCTTGCACATTATTGCCATGATGTCACAGTCCAAACAAGAGTTTCATAAATCAGGTTAAAGTTAAACTGGTGTGAGTATAGATATGCTCAAAAAATACTTCCAAAGCTTTAATCAGGTAGTTGCTCTACCTCATCCACATTTTGACTTACCTCTACACAACCTTTCTGTTTTGGAGGGGACAGTTTTTCATGATACAGATAAGTTTAATAATATAATAGAGATGTTTCATTAATATTTCCACAAGTTTTCTTTAAATGTTTTGCATAGCTTTCAAAATACAGCTTCCAGCATAATTTTATTGTCAACAGTACTGCTGAATCTATATATGTCCATCAGAAGAAACATTTTATTCTTATAATTTTTCTTCTTCTAGTGTTGCCTCATAAATATTCTTTTAAAGAATGCCACAGAGGAACCAAGTGAAGCTTCAAGGTAAAATCCTGAATGAAACAAAAAATATTACAAAATGTAATTAAAGAATATACAGTATATTGGGAAAAGGAAGACATGTCTACTGTCCAAGATAAAAAATATTTCAGTAAATTACAAGCAAAAAATGTAAAGTTCACAGAAGAGGGCAAAAAATAATTGTAATTTCATTGTCCTTGTATATAGAATAAGACCCTTCACATTGTAAAGCTAGACAATAAATATAAAAAATGAATACAACTTAGGCAAAAGACCAAACATTGCTTTTTATGGCAGAAATATTAGGGCTTGCATTTAACTCTAAAAAAAACATTTACCCTAAAATAGTGACAACCTGAACCTTATGCATGGTGATTATAATTCAATTTAAAGATCCTACTAGTATAAGAAGACTTTGTGACTTATGAAAGTAAATTTTCTTTTTAAAGATATTTAGCCCTTTGCTGTCTTGGGATTTGGATATGTGAAGAACTTGTACACTGTACCAACCATCCTCAAGTAAAAGATGCAATAAATGTTTGTGGTGTGACACTAAAGGTACAAGTATAGCAAATAATTTTAAGTGTGTTCAACTTTGTGGGCTGACAAAGACAAAGAGTATTCACTTAGAATACTTTGTTATTTAGAAGGTTCATTTATTTGGTCTATTATGCTTTTGAAAATTTCAAAAACAGTTATCATGTGTTAGAGATAGTGAATTATGTATTTACAAAATTATTTACTATTGAATAAGCTTTTAGAGCAACAAGTGTTCAGATATCTAAACAAAGCTGTTATAATTCAAGCTTTTGTAGATGACCCATTTCATAAAACATATGGATTGCATTAGGATGATGTACTGGGTCTTATATATAGTCATTATTTGCTGAGTTACACCATAGCAACAAGAATTATGTAATTGTATTGAAATAATAACCTAATTTCAGTTTTTCATGTTTGAAATTAAAATTAAAAACAAAGCAAAAAAACTTTCTTACCCTCTATGACTGAGATTACTTTTTCTTAGCAAATAGGTTTTCCATAACATTCTGTTAGGAGGGATACATAGAACCGAACACAACTGTTTTGAGAATTGTTAACCCCATCCCTTCTTAAGGGATCTTAAGGTATTCTAAGGGAAATAGTACTTAGCAATAGCACTTATATAGTGCTTCATAGTGCTTTATAGCACTCTAAGCGGTTTACAGAGTCAAATGCGAAAAACCATCTGCTGGCCTAAACCACAGAGACCAACTTAATATTACTTTATTTATTAATGTTACTTTATGTAATGATAGTGAGAAATAAATTTTTGGAAATACAACAATCCACTTGTAATGATGTTGGTTCTTTATTTCTTATTAATTTGTTTTTCATTTTTGCAGTTTTCTAACAAGCAGATTGCACAAGCAGCCTGTGATAACTTTCAATTATTGACATCTTACTGGAAAAAACTGCAGAAATACAACAGTTCTCTACCCCAAAAAATTATTGAAGTATGTTTCATTTCCAAAATAGTTATATATGGAAATTGGTATTTTATAATGCTTGTTTTTTAAGTGAACTATAATGCCTTATTTGAAGCAGATGCATTTTAATCCTCCTGTGCTAATGGAGATGCTGTGCACTTCAATAGCTGTTTAAAATAATTATAAAATGTTTTTAGAAAATACAAACCTCTTCATGTTCTATGTCCCTCTCAACAGATATAGCACTAGTAATTCTGTAGTGGTGTATTTGAGCCCTCTCTCCCTTTGCTGCCAAAGCCATCTGGCTGCAATTTACTACAAAACATATAAGCTAATTAGGGTTTATTCTCTTTCTAATAACCCACAAAATATGGGGCAGGAACCAATATTTTGCTGGTTCTATTTTTAAATATACCTATTTCAGAAGTTGCAATTAAGTTTTTACAGTTTGCTTTTATATCTTAATATTTAAAACATTGTAAAGGATTATTATATTAATTAGTTCTCTATTTGGAAGATTTTGATAGTTCATACTGCTAGCCTTTTGTAGCCTTTAGTCATTTCTGGAAACAGCTCATTCTCATTTTAGTGGCAGTCGCATCTACTTACAGATTTTTAAAATTGCATTTCTGTCTGAGGATTGCATTTTTATGACAATGGAATTGCATCCAAATCCTTCCTTTCTGCCAAAAGTTAATTTGTTTTTTGTTTTTTGTTTTTGTCATACCACACTTTGCTTCCCTCCTTCTGAAGGACAATGCATTTAGTTCGTTCTAAGGACCAGTGCTGATAAGTTGGACATAGATCATGTTCTACATTTTTAGTTAGATCAGAATAACTGAATTTTGAAAGTTGGGCACTTAATTTCTTATTCTGGCTTCTCTTCAGATTGTAAAATCTTTGCCTGCTTTCATTTAACAGGAAAGTGTTGGACAAAATTTATGTAAGTCCATCATTTGCAAACATCCCAAGTACATCAAGGCAGAAATTAAGTGTCAGGGGAATCTTTACTCATTTCATTAGCAAGGGATACCTATCTCTCCTATCTTTGGGACTGCCTTTTCTATTTTAGCTACTCATGTCCATTCACACAATCATTATTCATTATAAACATATCATCAGTTACTGCAACATTGATAAAAAAAAGCTTCTGCAGAATGTTCTAGGGCATTAAGCTGCTGATTGCTGAAATTCATCTTGGCAAATTCAACAGATTTAGCTGACTGCAAATCTCTGAAGGAAAAGAAAATCATATTACAAAATTTTCTTTTTCTCTTAGAAACTTTGGTAATCATTTTAGGCAATAGAATTGAAGAAAAAAGGTAAAGGGTTAAATAATTACAAAGTAGTAATTCATATTTCACTGATATTTTTGACCTGCCCTATGCTTTGACTGATTGGGAAACTAAACATTTCTATAAATTTATTTTAAAATTGCTTTGTCACAGGTCCTTGTTGCCACTATTGCATCTCTATTACCAAGTGCAGAATACTCTTCTGTGGAAAGTGATAAAAAGGTGTGTAATGATTAGATGCCTTCATTTTATCTCAATATTGCATAATTAACATGAAGACCTAATGTTTAAATTAGGCAATTTGGCTTGTATGATTGATAATTGCTGTTTTGAAGGAAAAGAGCAGATTTCAGCTTTAGAGTTCAAATAGATTACCTACAGTAACTTTACTGCTGATGAATAGATTTTTCAGATCATATTCTTTTGATTGCATATCATATATTTCCTGGTAAAATTTATTTTGTTTAATCAGGTTTTCCAACTTTCTAAGTGTAACTAATATTTGGACATTTTTTTCTGTTTTAGTTTATAGTCTCATTGTTACTTTGTTTATTGGATTGGTGCATGACATTGCCAGTGAAGACACTGTTGGAGCCTGTATTTACTTCCAGTTTTGAAAATCAATATTCTTCTAATACTCCATTACTTGATTATATTTATAGGGTAAGCATGAGTGGTCATACCTAAATACTTCACTTCCTAATATCTATGTATATGAATAGCAGTATACTAAATTAAAACAAAATTACAAAAAAGCCATAGTTTTGATAGATGAACTACAGCAGACTTTGTGTACAGCTTTCTGAGACCCTGCCCATACTGTTGCATCAGTTTTGTCATTAACACATGTGTTGTGGACATCATTAATTATTTTTTGATTGCTCTTGTATTAGATACATTTTCAAATGTATCATTGTCCCATTTATTTTCTATATTCATGGTGTATTTCAAATGTGAAATAGAACAAATATTCAGTATCATTTCAGTACCCCATTTGAGATTATGGCTATTTCCTTATATCTGTATCTTCCATTTTTTAAAACGTACTGTTTTAGGAATTTCTCAAGCAATTTCATTTTTAATTTAGTAGTGTTCATAACAATTAGACACTCATTCAACATCCCTAAGGTGCTTTCTCTTGAATAAGGTGGATGTCAACTTGTAAATCATCCCTGGCCTCCTTTCAAGTTGCCATAGGGAGGGTGGGGGGAAACCCTGAAATAGCAACAAGGAAATCAAAAACCAGAAGTACATTTCACACATACCTTACCAAGGCTGTCTCTCAGGTTACTGATCCAGTTGGAGGGGTGTGGTCTCCAGAGCCCGTGAAATTCCTCGGTTGGAGAACGTGATTTATGACACACCAGCTGTGAAGGTGCTCCAGTTGGAGAGAGTGATTTATGACACACCCATTGGGGAGGGGGGAAACAGAGAATAGGTGCACCGTAAACGTGAGACAGAGCTGGCTTCATTAGGATAAGTGTCAACATGTTTCTCCTAATAAATAATTAGAGTTCTTTTGAAGTTTAGCTCAAGGTTCGTGATTTGATTAGGGCATCTGTTGGAATCCTGACAGTGGTATTTCATATTATATGTGAAATTTTTGTGGTATTTCACTTTATATATGTGTTTTTTGTTTGTTTTATTGCAGATCCTGAACTGTTGTGTTTATGGTTCAAGCCTGTACACACAGCAAAGCCATTATCTTTTAAGTTTGGCTGACCTCTCCAGTGACAGCTACGATCCATTTATGCCCCTAGGAAATGTTAGGAATTCTAAAGTGATTCTGGTTCAGTCTTCTGCAGACCTGAATAATTTGCTCACTGTTGCTGAAGGTAACAATAATTTGAAAGGGAACAGCATATTTTACTTTTCATTGAAAACTCTTTGCAAAAGAAAAATGCATATTTTACAAGAACTGAACCCTGTACAGTTCATGTATTTTTTCCTTATTAATATAAAATGCATATTAAAATTTTGCCACCTCACAAAGTTCATTTTAAGTCTTCTTTTGTGTCAGTGTATTTCTTTTTAAAAATAGTCAGATCTGTCAATTTCCCTTTCTACAAATGCAGTTGAAATTGGTGCAAGAATTTTTTCATACTCAACTTTTATAGTAAGCAATTGATAGCTGATATCTTAACAGTTTGCTTACTAATCTTAAATCATTGTAGAGAGCTTGCAGTCAAAGAAGCAGCAGGAAGAGATTAATAGTGATAGAATAACATTTCTCTCTGAATTAATAAGTTCTTGGTGAAGCTGTTAGCCTCTGTGCTATTTTATTTCTGATGTTAAAGGGAAGGTCTAGAAATTATTACAGAGCAAAAGGTTCACAGAACAGGTTTTTTTATTTAAAAGCAGTTGTGCATTTGATACATTTGGATATATAACTTTTTACATGTTTGTGTGTTTGGGTATATGCCCCTTATACATATGTATTGCATATATAAAAAGGATATAAGGGTGACATACTAAGAAATTAATTTGAATTTGAAATTTCTTCTAACACAGAACACATATTAGAGCATATATATATAAATGTTTATTGAAAAGTGATTCAAAAAAGTCAAAGACCACATAATTATATAGGTGCAGAATTTAAATAGGGAAATTGGTATGCAATAAAGGGAATATAGGTGGAAGATAGATAATAAATTTACTGGGAATATTATAGTAAGGAAAAACTGGCGTGAGAATTCTTTAGTTGGTATATTATCCAGTGTTGATTGCCAAAGTGTATAATATATATTCAAAACACTGTTGGAAATATAACAATCAGGTTTGATTATTGTTTCCTATCTGGTGGCAATATACAAAGCTCAACAGCTTTAGAAAATAGTTTATCATAAGTTTAAACAAATTTTAAAAGCTCACACTTTATTGCCAGCTCTTTTTTCTTCTTAAGCATAATCGAACCTTAGATTCCTACCGAGTATGGGAACTTGGCTTAATAGATGATAAATATTGCTAGGATACACTATGCTTTTCATTGAAAATTACATTCATTCCCAACATGAGAAGATTGGCAATTTTTATGCAGCAACATCAAGTATAATTTTATATCTTAAAAATAAGTATGATACCAATTTTAATATGATATGGAAACCAAATCTATAATCCATTACCAGGCAGTAACCTATTTGAAACCGGGCTGCGGGAGAAAGCATAGGGCGCTTACGGTCATGCACAAAGTTTAATTCACATGAATGAAGCTTCATGGGCCAGCACCCTCCACTCAAGAGTGGAGTTTTGCACGTGAGCATGAGCGCCCTCTGCTTGTCAGTGGAACTTGGCGTGCAAGTGCAAACACCCTCTGCTTGTATGCAAAACTCCATTTGTGTGAGCGGAAGGCACCTGCACCCGCCATTTACATAAATGGAGATGTGTGCATGTGCATGTGCCTGCCACTCACCCACCCCCACATTGGGCTAGGCCGCCAAGCTGGAAAGGTTGGGGATTGCTGCATAGACTTCAGCCTGGATGCACACCTTGCATATTGTTGCCAAAGTAAACAATTATTGCAGATAATTTGAAATAATAATCTGCTCCTGATCTTTTGCTCTCTTATGTAGATTTATGAAAAACCTTTTTCTAATATTCTTCAGTCTTCAATTTATAGTTAAATAATGTGGTACTTTAAATATACTTTATAAATATACAAATCCACAACCAGTATATCTTTAAATACTATTCTTAAAATTACCGTATATTATTAGTTAATTGGTTGTCAGACTATCCATCTTGTACCTTTCTCGTTTTAGAAACTTATGAAAATTGAGAATATACCTGTCCTAAACTTCAAAATTGAGAAAGAGGTGTGTGGGTGTAGGCTGTTTTATTTATTTTTTAATTATTGTTACAATTAACTATTTTCAGAAATGAAGCGGAGGAGCTTGGAGTTAATACCACTGACAGCACGAATGATTATGGCACATCTAGTTAACAATTTGGGCCATTATCCTCTGACGGAAGGACCTGCTGTTCTGCATAGTCTTGTTAGTGAAAATCACAACAATTCTTGTATGGAATCTTCTGAACTCTCACCTGAAGTCTTCCAAAGCCCCAATTTACAGATCTTTGAATTTAATGACAACGCTGTCATTTCCTACCTCCAGATTCCTTCAAAAAGGGGGATGGATGATGAATTGGAAGAATCTTTCTCAGAAGTTAGAGTAATTGTTAGGGATATTTCTGGAAAATATTCATGGGATGGACAATTGATGTATGGACCATTAGCTGCTTGTTCAGTAGATCAGATGAACAGAAAATTCTCTGTGGTTATGGAAAAAAATAAGCAGAACTTTGAGTCCCCAACTGATTTCATTCAGATGGAAGATGGAGAAGATGCTCTTGATAGATTACTAGAAAAGATTGGCAGTAGTAGTCCTGAGTGTCTTTTACATCCACAAGTAAAATTAAATGAGCCATCCCCATCCCCATCTATCATGAATCATGCCCAAGCTAATGATATCATTGAAGCAATAATGCGGCAGAGTTTCATAGAAAATGAATATGCCCATGGATACCCTCTGAATACAAAGAGCGAAAATCAGAAGATGCCAAGATCTGCTGTGCCACAGTCACCATTTCATTTATGTAGGCTTTTTCTAAATGCCTTAGGAATGAATTCTTGGGAAAAAAGGTAAGCATTCACAGTATTCTAAGAATTTTGAGTGGGTGGGGAGGAACATAATACCGTTCCCATCTTCAAGAAAGTGGGGGGAAACAGATCTAAGAAACTACAGACCAATCAGCCTACATCAATACCTGAAAAGATCCTGGAAAAGATAATAAAAAACAGATATGTGAACATCTAGAAACAAATAAAATTATAACTAGTAGCCAGCACAAGTTTCTTAAAAGCAGATCATGCCAATCCAATCTTATTTCATTCTTTGATAAGTTGACTAAGTTAGTAGACCAGCAAAATGCTGTGGACATAGTGTACTTAGATTTCAGTAAGGCATTCAACAAAGTAGACCACAACCTACTTCTTGGTAAGCTAGAAAAATGTGGAATAGACATCACCACCCCCAGATGGAGTTGTAGCTGGCTGACAAACCATATTCAACGAGTAGTCCTTAATGGTACTACATCTACATGGAGAGACATAAGCAGTAGGGTACCACAAGGTTTTGACTTAGGCCCAGTACTCTTCAATATCTTCATAAATGATTTAGATGAGGAAATAAAAACTTTGCAGATGACACTAAGCTGGCAGGGATAGCCAACACCCCAGAAGACACACTCAACATCCAAAAAGATCTTGACAACATTGGGCCCTACCCGACAACATGAATTTTAATCTGAAAAAAAGCAAAGTTTTACAGTTAGACAGGAAAAACCAATGGTATAAGTACAGGTTAGGCGAGACCTGGTTCAAAAACAGTAATTGTGAGAGGGACCTTGGAGTCCTTGAATATAAACTAGCAATGTGTGGCAGCAGCCAAAAAAAGCTAATACAATCCTAGGTTGTATAAACAGGCATAGAATCAAAATTACATGAAGTATTAGTATCACTTTATAAAACCTTAGTAAGACCACACTTGGAATATTAATCAATTTTGGTCACCATACTACAAAAAAAGATGTTGAGACTTCGGAAAATGTTTAGAGAAGAGCAACTAAGAGCAATTAAGATGTTTAGAGGCCTGGAGATTAAAACATGAACGATTACAGGATTTGGGTTTGGTTAGCCAAGAGAAAAGAAGACATGATACTAGTATTACTAGATATTTGAGGGGCTGCCACAAAGAAGCGGGGGGGTCAAATGATTCTCGAAAGCACCAGAGGGCAGGACAAGTAACAATGGATGGAAACTAATTAAGGAGAAAAGCAACCTGAAATTAAGGAGAAACTGCCTAACAGTGAGAACAATTAACCAGTGGAACAGCTTGCCTTCAGAAATCATAGGTGCTTCATCACTGGAGGTTTTTAAGAATAGACTGGAGAGCCATTTGTCTGAAATGGTATAGGATTGGGGGTGGGCTGCTGGGGGTTTGCAGGGGTTCGGGAGAGCCCCTAGCTAAGATTCTGTGCAGTTCAGAGAACCCCCAAATCCCAATCCTGGCTGGCCCTGCCCACTGTGCCTGGCCCCTCCCAGGAATCCCCACGCCGCCCGTTTTGGATGCAGATAAGTGCAGGGTGCACATGGAGGCTCAGGGAGGGTGAAAAACAGGCCGGAAATGGGCCTGTTTCTAGCTTCCAGAGAGCCCCCGGAGCACAGGGAGGCCATTTTCGCCTCCTGGAGGCTTGAGGAAAGCCTCCAGAGCCCGGGGATAGCAAAAATGCCACCACCCCCCACACCGTGGTGCAGGAGACCAACTAGCCCATGGCCACGCCTAGCTAGCAACCAGGCAGAGAACCCTTCGCTAAAAATTTTGAAGCTCACCCCTGTATAGGATCTCCTGCTTGGGAAGGGAGCTGGACTAGAAGACCTCCAAACTCCCTTCAGCCCTATTCTAGATTGCTTCTCAGCAGCCAGTATCTAAGGCTTTCTGCCTATTAGAAGATAGTAAACGAATATCAATCATTAATAGGCATTGATAGTTTGTACAAACCTATTTAGCTACCTTTACCACAACTTCTGACAGGGAATTTCATAGTTTAACTGTATGCATCCTGACACTCTGCATTTCACTACAATAAATTACAAATAAAAAACTTACGTTCTTGAGGCTGAGGGCCAATCTTGCTCTCAGTCTGGTTTGGGGGAGAGATAGCTCCTCCCTCTGAGATTTTATAGATTGGACTCTTTAAACACAAAAAGGAATGATGTCACAAGGTGGAACATGCCTCCTGGGTAATTTAAGAATAAAAATGAACAGTAAAGTCATTCCTCCCCCTCCAATTTAATATTTTCTTGGTGTCCTTAATAAAGGATAGATCTGAGCAAAGATCACCAAAGTGGAAAATAAATTGCAATAATTAGTGTAATTCAAGTGAGATTGCTACTTCTATCCATCTGGTTAAAAGGTGATAATAGGGGCTTGTAAAAATAATCTCAGTGCTTCTCCTGAATGTTTGGCATAGCAGTTCAACCTAAATGGATTAATTTTTTATTATAGGCAAGCTAATGGGGCATGTTTAAGTTGCTGTTTACTAATTAAAATTCTATAACTATAATTGTCATTTGGCTTCAGCATTCAGTATTTATTTCCTATTTATGGATAGGAAATAATTATTTTCCAACTTATTCTTCAGTGGTAAGGATTTCCCTGCTTCAGTAAAGTATAAAAAGGTATTTACTGAAAAGTGTTTATTCTGATATGTAGCTCCTACAAGAACCAGAGTACCCCAAAATTAAATTGTCATATTTGAACTAGGTCACTATTGCCATAATAAAACTTTAAAAGTAGATCCTAGGTTTTCACTCTCCGTTTCAGAGGCATAGGCACTGCCACTTTAGCCTTCTTCACAACAGTAAAACCCAAGAACCTCTGATCTAATAATTTATACCATAAGATGTATGTTATTCTTTAAGTGTCACAATTTTCTTAATTATTTGTATTATTTCCCAGATATCACCTAACTGAAATTTGCTCATTTTTCTTTTCAGATAAGTTTGTGTGTGTGATTGTATGCATGCATGTGTGTACCCATAAATACATACACACACTATTTTGGCAGGAAATGTTTCCATTTTAATGAATTTCCCTAACTGAAATTTTATAGGTAAGATAGAAAATATAATTTGAAAATAGAAAATTTATTTACGAGATAACATGCTTAGAGAAAAATCAAGTAACTAATATACTTCCATTCTGACTAAGCTGTGTAAATAATTATAGAAGGTTATGTTTTATCCCACCTTCTTAGGTATATTATACAAGATCTGCTACTAGATCATTAAACATAAGTTAAAAGGTTTGGAGGGAGGGATCATTGGGAGCCAAAAGCAATCAGATAGGAGGACTTCAGGGTAGCCAGATTAACAAAATACACCAGTTTGTTTCCATAGTTACGAAATGTACCAGTTATGTATTATGAGATATTCTACCATAATTTTATTCTATTTATTTTAGAAAAAGTTTTAATGTTTTGAAGAAAAATTCTAAGTTGTTGAGGGAGCTGAAAAATTTAGACTCTAGACAATGGTAAGTTAAACATTCTAATTACTTACAATTCATGAATATACTTAAATTATCAGCTGCAACATTTTTTAATGTTTTCTAAAAATACATATCTTACTCTTTCTTTATAATTACAAAATATAGATCTGTCAATATGAACAAATTCCATACAAAACCATGTTGGTTTTGAACATACATAAATAATATTTACTTATCCACACAATTTTTGATCCTTGGACAGTTTTGGATTTGTTTTGCCTACAAAAAGTCCTTCACTTATGACTGTAATTGAGCCTGGAATTGTGGCCATAAGTCATGCCAATCGTTATGCAAATGAGCATGTGGCTATGCCTGATTTTATGACCTTTTTTGCAGTGGTCATTAAGGGAATGCCTTTACTTAATGGCATTCTTTGCAGCGGTCATTAAGCAAACATCACAAACCCATTGTCTGCAACCCAGTGCAAAAAACCTGCATTGTCTAGGGTGGTTGTTGTTTTTGCTGTAAACTGGAAGTAAATGGCAGTTTCCAGCAAAAAATATTGTAAATTGTGGTCATAAAATAAAAAGGTCAAAATTGATGTCGTTATAAATTGAGTTTGTATAATCAGTACTCAGTAGACATATATTTGAATCATTGTAATGCTTTATTTCAGAATGTTGGGAAACAAATTTGCAATTTTTAAATAGATTGTTTGCAATGATCTTGGGTTGACATACTTAGCCAAGATTAAAATAATGCCAAATGAAGTAGAATTCAGTAGAGTAGAGTAGAGTAGAGTAGAGTAGAATAGAATAGAATAGAATAGAATAGAATAGAATAGAATAGAATAGAATAGAATAGAATAGAATAGAATAGAATAGAATAGAATAGAAT